AAAGACTTATACAATGAAAACTACAGAACCCTAAAGAGAGAAATAGAAGAAGATCTTAGAAGATGGAAAAATATACCCTGTTCATGGATAGGCAGAACTAACATCATCAAAATGGCGATATTACCAAAAGTTCTCTACAGGTTTAATGCAATGCCAATCAAAATCCCAACGGCATTTCTTGTAGAAATAGAGAAAGCAATCATGAAATTCATATGGAAAAACAAAAGACCCAGAATAGCAAAAACAATGCTAAGCAGGAAGGGTGAATCAGGCGGTATAGCGATACCAGACTTCAAACTATACTACAGAGCAATAGTAACAAAAACAGCATGGTACTGGTACCAAAACAGGCGGGTGGACCAATGGTACAGAATAGAGGACACAGAAACCAATCCACAAAACTACAACTACCTTATATTTGATAAAGGGGCTAAAAGCATGCAATGGAGGAAGGATAGCATCTTCAACAAATGGTGCTGGGAAAACTGGAAATCCATATGCAACAAAATGAAACTGAATCCCTTTCTCTCGCCATGCACAAAAGTAAATTCAAAATGGATCAAGGAGCTTGATATCAAATCAGAGACACGCCGTCTGATAGAAGAAAAAGTTGGCTACGATCTACATACTGTGGGGTCGGGCTCCAAATTCCTCAATAGGACACCCATAGCACAAAAGTTAATAACTAGAATCAACAAATGGGACTTACTCAAACTAAAAAGTTTTTTCTCAGCAAAAGAAACAATAAGAGAGGTAAATAGAGAGCCTACATCCTGGGAACAAATCTTTACTCCTCACACTTCAGATAGAGCCCTAATATCCAGAGTATACAAAGAACTCAAAAAATTAGACAATAAGAGAACAAACAACCCAATCAACAAATGGGCCAAGGACCTGAACAGACACTTCTCAGAGGAGGACATACAATCAATCAACAAGTACATGAAAAAATGCTCACCATCTCTAGCTGTCAGAGAAATGCAAATCAAAACCACCCTAAGATACCATCTCACTCCAGTTAGATTGGCAGCCATTATGAAGTCAAACAACAACAAGTGCTGGCGAGGATGTGGGGAAAAGGGTACACTTGTACATTGCTGGTGGGACTGTAAATTGGTGCAGCCAATTTGGAAAGCAGTATGGAGATTTCTTGGAAAGCTGGGAATGGAGCCACCATTTGACCCAGCTATTCCCCTTCTCGGTCTATTCCCTAAAGACCTAAAAAGAGCATGCTACAGGGACACTGCTACATCTATGTTCATAGCAGCACAATTCACAATAGCTAGACTGTGGAACCAACCTAGATGCCCTTCAATGGATGAATGGATAAAAAAAATGTGGCATTTATACACAATGGAGTATTACTCTGCATTAAAAAATGACAAAATCATAGAATTTACAGGGAAATGGATGGCATTAGAGCAGATTATGCTAAGTGAAGCTAGCCAATCCCTAAAAAACAAATGCCAAATGTCTTCTTTGATATAAGGAGAGTAACTAAGAACAGAGTAGGGTCGAAGAGCAGGAGAAGAAGATTAACATTAAACAGGGATGAGAGGTGGGAGGGAAAGGGAGAGAGAAGGGAAAATGCATGGAAATGGAAGGAGACCCTCAGAGTTATACAAAAGTACATACAAGAGGAAGTGAGGGGAAGGGGAAAAATAATATAAGGGGGACAAACGAATGTCAGTAGAGGGAGCAGAGAGAGAAGAGGGGAGGGGAGGGGAGGGGAGGGGAGGGGGGATAGTAGAGGATAGGAAAGGCAGCAGAATACAACAGACACTAGTATGGCAATATGTAAATCAATGGATGTATAACTGATGTGATTCTGCAATCTGTATATGGGGTAAAAATGGGAGCTCATAACCCACTTGAATCAAATTGTGAAATATGATATATCAAGAACTATGTAATGTTTTGAACAGCCAACAATAAAAAATTAAAAAAAAAAAAAAAAAAAAAAAAAAAAAAATCATCAGGGCATTTCAATTGCAATAAATAAAGAACAGAATAGAAAAGCCACAAAATTGTTGTTAAAGATATGAATGTAGTTCATATTGCCAATCTCCAATTCTGTACTCTTTATTTAATAAACACATGTCTAAATTTTGCAAAATTTTTAACTCTGAAGCTTTAATTATGTTCTCTTTTAAGAAGAAATGCTGCCATTTTTCCATGTTGTTATTTGTAACACTTTAAAATAAGAAAATTACTTTGAAATAAACCCAACACACACAGCCAATTTCCCATTCAACCTTTTTTCTCACCAGGCCAACTTTCAATACCTAGAGTTCTGTTTCTCAAAGTCCAGTCACCAGAACCTCTACATCACTACCCCTCTTGGATCTGTTGTCGCATCTATATAAAATGGGAGTAATAGTCAAAACCACCACCACAGAGTTATCATAAGATTAAATGAGATAATGTACTTAAAATACATTATCCCAGAACACAGTGAGTGATCAGTAGATGCTACCATGTAATACCAAGACTCTTAAATTCATTATCAGAGTATTATCATCAAGATAACTTGACGTGCTCATTAAATTACTGCTGATTTCTGGATTCAGTCCTAGACCTACTGAAGCTGAATCACTGATTAAGTGCAGAGATCTATATTTTAACTAGCATTTTGATGATTTTTTTATTCACTCAAATTTGAGGATTACTATCTAGAGATTAGGGCTTGCTCCTTATTTGCTCCTCACAGCTCTAATACAGGGGTCTGAACACAGTTGATGCTTACTGATAGTCAATACTGCCAGACTGCTATGGCAAATTTTTAAAAGAATCTGGAATTTATTATGGATTAGTACAGCAGAAAAAAAAGTTTTTTACATTTTGACCCTAGCAAAATATTAAGGGAGGGCTGTTTTGTTAAATTGTGTTAAAAATAAATTCAGCTTCCATCATCTCAACTCTTCTTTTATTATGTGAAGATATCTGAATACTCTCACATTTCACATAACCTATTTTTCCCTTTAAAATAATTCAATCCATTTGGGATTTTATTGCTTCCTTTTTTAATTTAGAGGATCCAGAAAGGCTAGACATGTGCTCATAGAGAGGTTAAATGACCGTATTCTCTGGGCCCTGTAGTATTAATATTAATATTAATACCTAGCCTGGAGCTAGGTTTCTATAACCACTTTCTTTTTTACATCTGTGTTCATTTAAAGGAAAGTTCCAGCAATTTGTTTAAAAGGAAAACTACAAGTGAAATGTCTTCAACTGTTAATTCAAATAGAAATTTAAATCAAGTAACTCAAGATATTTGAACTTTCTGTCTAGAGAACAGTAATACAACTTGTTGCACTCAATAGACAGTTTTAATATGAAAAGAAATCTTCTCATTAAATGTTTGATTGCATCAAAAGTATAGAGAGTCAACCTCTGACCAAAGAGAAAAATTAGGAATTATTTCCAGCTTAATTTGTTTCATCTTAAGTAAACATGAAGATCAAAAGATAAAACCTCAATGTTATCAGTGCAAGATATTTAAGAACTAAATTTTCTTGTTTGGTGAAAAGCTCTGAACATGTACTTTATTGTGAAAAATATACTCATATAATTCGATTACATATTTTTCAAGTACTATTGGCTATCTGCACAAATTTTGGTTTTACAAATTAGAAAAGCTCTAGTGAGGCTATATGACACAATTATTTCATGAGCCATATGTAAGTGTGGTTGATATTAAATGTGAAGAACTTGACCTCCAGGCCACCGGATGGACTTGTTGTTTTCTAGCCAACAATCTTTTCCATTGTAAATATCAAATGCCCTTGACTTTATGCTGTGTAATTAACCTTTAAGTTGATTCTGAAGTACATACAAGACTCCTAAGGATGTCTTTTTTGTTGTTTTTCTGGCAGTCATGCTAAGTTTTGACAGTTTGCTAAGTAGTGGAAATTATGCTGTAAGCAAAAGTCTTTGCAAGACAGAGATTCCTACAAAATACTGTAGTCTTTATTTTTCCAATGGATACTGGCTACTCCTATAGGATCCAATTCCAAGAACAACTTCACTGAAGCAAGGGTTCCCTGTCTTGCAACGGAAATCACAAGGCCCATAGAGTGAACTCTTAAGGCTTCTTTTCTACCTCTATCCAGGAGTAGTTTGATTCCTAGCTCTCCTGCTTTCTTTTCATTCCAGGCTGAATTGGTGCAATGAAATAGGTTACAGTAACCTATGTTCTGACAGGATAGAGTAAAAAAATAAAAATGTGTGAAAACCATAAGTGGAAGATTTGACTAGGAAAAATGATGGCAATATTAAAAACACTTAAACATCCAAATTATCTAAGTGCCATTACTCAGAAAATTTTCAGTCCTGTGAGGAGCACCAGAAAACTTCAGAAGTTCCACTCCTGTTGAGCAGACCACAGAACTTCCTTGCATTTTGAAAACTGCCTTGGCATTAAATATGGCCTCATAATGACGCCACAAAAGAAAAATATTAGCCATCAAAGACCCAACCAGCGTCCTACGCACAATGATCAGATTTTACATTACCTTCATCTATTTTTGTGACCCCTTTTCTCTTTGAGATGACCTGCGGCTTTCATCATTCAATTCTAGATTTAAGAACAAAGCAAGAATTACAGAAAAATTTTGGTCGGTCCTTCTTATCACTGAAAACCAGTGTGAATTCTGTTGTGACGCCTGAAAGCAAAACTGAGCATGCTTTAAAGTCAGAATAGATACGGAATTGGTAATGCTTCTGGAGTTCTCTGGTTGGTGGAGGAGTGTTACAGTCCTGACCTCATTCAAAAGCTCACAGCTGGCTCTGTCCTAAGGAAAACGAGATGACTACTGACTAGATGACCAAGATTCATTAACAGGGCATCAATTTTAATGCCATAGCCCAACACAATACATCATTCATTCATTCATCCATTCAGTTGTTCCCCATACTCTGTTACTTTCTTAAATTAAGAGCTGGATCTTCATTAAATGCTTAAGATTTCTCCAAGGAATACATATAAGAATAATACTTACTTTCCTGTAATGAACTGACTCCTGGATGGCGTGCAAATGGGCTGGACGTAGTAATTCTCCAGTTTAACTCCTTCAGCTGCGAGCTTGTCAAGAGTGGGTGTCTTTATCTCAGATCCATGGTAACCCACATCTCTAAATCCCTGATCATCCGCCAGGATGAAAATGAGATGGGGCTGAGAGGCGGCCGTTGTGCTGGGCTCGGGTCTTTCTCCAGCTTGAACTCGCAGGGACCCTTCTTCCTCATCCTCTAAACCCTGGCCCCAGGACAGGTAACCATAGGTGAGGAGGCTGAGGACCCAGAAGCCTGCCAGAGCGCCCATAGCTAGCATCTTTCCAGGCCAGAGCCAGACCTGTTGAGGCGCAGGCGGTGGAGGCGGCGGAGGCGGCAGCTCCGCGCGGCCCCTGGGGGCCATTCACTCGGCTCCAAGCTGAGACTCCACGCGCAAAACCCCGCACCGCGCGCCGCCGCTGGCACACACATGCACGCAGAAGGGGAGACCCAATAGACCGCGAAGGGTCTCCACCTGGCAAGTAATCCTCTGCTCCTCTCGGCTGTCACTACTTCCCACAACTTTAATCTTCTATTAGGGCTGGTTTATCAGGACGTCCAGACTCTTTGGAAAAAAACACTCTTCTCCATCAGATTTCACTTTTTCCTTTTCCTCTCTCTCTAGAGTAGCTTCCACAAAAAAAGTTAATATTTCCGCTCAAAAGTTCTCAGAAGCCAAAAGTAAACAAATAAGGAACTGATAATCACACTGAGCAGGGCCATTTAGTAACCAGAGCGTCCTCCACGTTGGGGGACCAGGCTGTCCTAGGCTGCACACGCACAGAGGGTGATGAAGTTGGCAGTACGTCCAGGGGTCCCAACACCTGGAAAGCACTGCAGAGTGGAGCAGCTGCTTCTTGCTCTTATCCCGGCCAACGAGGAACTGCCCGGAGCGAACCGGCTCCTTTCCCAGGGCTCTGTATCTTTCCCGATTCTCCTAGGCGTTTGCCAATCTTCCCAACACTCACCAGGCGGCCAAGTGAGAGAAAAGCCGTTTCCTGATTACCCTCTGCAGCTAACCGCCCACTTCTTTGCAGGAACTTGGGGGCCGATTCCGTCTCCCCGGTGCAGGAGCGCGTGCGGAGCGAGGCAGGGTCCAGCCCCGCCGCCCCTCTCCACGGGGCCCACCAGTTCTCCGCGGGCTGGTGCATCCAGCGGAGGCGCTACACCCTGCTGGCGTTTTCTGGGCTAACTTACTTAGTTTGGGCTCTCGGAAGTTCTTTTGCCTCCTCCCTCTTTTCTCGCCAGTGAATCGCAGAATAGTACTTTCTGCCTTAGGTCCCTCAGGAAGAGGGGGAAGGGGAAGGGCCGGTTTAGAGGCTCAATCTTTCCTTTATCTTTTCCGGGAGAATGGACGAAAGAAGGAAGGCTTTACTAGCGGGAGACCTGCGTGCTGCCCGAGTCTTAAGGGACTCCGAGGGTAGCCAGGGCTGCTGCTTCTCAAGAGGGTCGCCTGCTGCGCTCCATCTCCCGGAAAAGGGGAAGGACTCGGAGGGAGTCGGGAAGGATGAAGCAGGCGCTTCTCTTCGGGAGTCTGTTGAATGAAGAGCTTTCTCGCCTCCAAAACTTTTCTGTCTTCTGGAGGGAGTGAGAGAGGAAGAACAGGAGAATCAACAAATTGCAAAGCATATTCTTTTCCTATTTCACTTCAGGTTTTCTTTGACCAGTCCCTTTCTCCCCTGTCACCCCTGCCACCTCTCCCCCCGCCCCCAGCCATTATTTCTTTTCCTGTTCTCCCCACCTCCCCCCGCCCCCTTTTTAACACTCACAAACTGCAACTTTTGAAGTTCAATTTCTTCTCCAATAGCTGGTCTTTACAGCCTGACTTATTATTAGTTTCTTCTTAAGTGAAATATTAAAACTGCCCGCTCTTTTCCTTGCTCCAAACTTAACCGGCAGGGTATCTCCAGCCAAGAACCCTGGAGAGGAAGAGGAGTTAACGTTTCACCCTCAAGAACCACGAGGCCAGTCTGCATTCCTGCAGTCAAGAAGTCAGAGCTTTCTATGCAGAAATTTGGGGATCTTCAATTTTTTTCTTTTTTCCTTTCTTACTTTCTTCTCTCTCTCTCTCTCTCTCTCTCTCTCTCTCTCTCTCTCTCTCTCTCTCTAAGCTTGTCTTCCTTGAGAAGATAGTCCTGCTTTTACTAGAGTCATAGAGTTTTTAAGATCAAAGACAAGAAACTGATTTATGGTATCTCTTTTATAGAAGAGGTAATCAATGCTGACAGTCACCAAGATATGTCCCCCCACCCACACAATTTTTCCAATGGTTATTTATTGAACACCTACAGAGGGCCTGCCTCATGTTAGATTCTTTCAATTGACTAAAGCATAAATCTAGGTTTCATTTAGCCATTTAGTTTTAATTCTTTTCTATTAAAGTTCTTCCTGAGACCTTTATAATAGCAAAACTTTATAAAATAGAAACTTAACTTTGGAAGACACAATGATGCTCCATGAAGTTAATTTTGCTAACATTCTCTAGGCCTTCTGCTAGTCTTGGCTTTTTCTCTGAAGCCATTCCAAGGTCTGGGAAGAGATGGTAGTTTTAGAAGACATGTTTGGAAATGTTTAGTAATTCTGAGTTTAAATTCCCAAATATGTAATGAGAGTGATAAGTATTAGGGGATTGAAAAGTACTGAGAAGTAGGACTCAAGTGTTTGCAGATGATTGGTACCCAAAGCAACAATGTTCAAAGGATTAATCTGATGATGAATTTATAATCTGAATGGACAATTAAGAGGTGGTAGACATGGTAGGAGGTAGAACCTAACTGGAGGGAGTGGGTCCTTGGGGACTGTATGGTGTCCTAGGACCCTATGTCTGTCTTTCTCTCTCTCCCCTATTGCCAAGAGATAAAGTATCTTTCCCCTGTCATACTCTTCCACCATGATGTTCTGCCTTGCCTGAAGTCCAGTGCAATGGAGCCAGCATGGATTGAAACCACTAGCCAAAATAAATCTTTACCTCTTTGTTTATGTTAGGTATTTTGGTCATAGCAATGAAGAGTTCACTAACACATTAGCAAGTGACATAGTGCAAGAAATGTCCATTTCTTCTGTGCAAGAAAGATATTTCCAGTTTAGATTTCCAGCAAGAGCAAAAAATAAAGTTACTATTTACTGAATATTTACCAGGTGCTAACCATAGCACTCTATATACAGATATATATGTGTGTGTGTGTGTGTGTGTGTGTGTATATATATATATATATATATATATATATATATATATATATATGCTTTATAGTGTTTACATAGTGTTGTATATACTTTAACTCTTTTTCTTCTCCATCAACCTTAGGGACTATTCTTCCATTCAACAGTATTTGAGGAGCTGGGCCAATGCTAGAGACTGGGAACAACAGTGAACTAAACCAGACACAATCTCAGCTCCTGATGGAAACTATATCATGGTGGGGAAGAAATATACTGATCAACTTATCACCCCCAAACCTCCAATAGTTACGCATGAGATAAGTGTTCTAGAGAAACAGAACAAAATTCAGAGAAATTTTAAAACAAAGATAGGCTGGGTGTGGTTAGTGGGTGAGGTAGTTCAGGGAAGTGACCTTTCCACAGAGGGAATGTTACTTTGTTATCTACTTTTTGCAGAAAATTTGGACAGAAATCTTTCTGACTTTGAAGCCCCTACTTTTAAAAAGATACTCTTCCTACTAAAGGGCTTTAAAATCTTTCATAGCCACAAAGCACAGAGTGAACACAGCTGGCAGTTAGGACTCTATCCTCACATGAGGCATGCAGACCCTCCACACTCACTCAGGATGTAAAAGCAAAACTAGAGATAGAAGAAGCCATTTCTGGAGTAAACAAGACTAATACTAAATGAGACTTAAGAACTATTTATCTAGTAAAAGAGCCAAGAAACAAGAATGGTCATGCCATGGTAGAACAAATAAAATGTGACTCAGAGGAAAATCGAGGTCAACTGCAGGCCCTACTTACCGTAGGTCAGGCTTATTTTAACATCCCTTGAGAAAACAGAGAATGAAATTGGAGGCTGTTGAATGCCCTGTGCTTTATTGTATGTATGTGTATATGTATTTTAAGGACCTAAATTTTCATTTCTCTTTATAGAACTGAGTTTCATGCACTCTACACACTGGTTTTACCATCCTGGTCTCTCAAATCCAAGTACCTTTACAACTTGATAATTTTTTCCTGATTTTAGAATCAGTATTTTGGTGTTCTAGCACCAGCTTCTCTCACAGAATTCTATCTTGGGTTTATTTCAGCTTGAATATGTACACATTGCAAAACACACCCCTAAGGTATGGATTGGCATTTGGGAAGGAGGTGAAGTTAAAAGAAGTGCATTTTTGGTAAAATGAATGAAGAGAAGAGCTGACTGAAGACATGATTGGATTGGAGGAGTATGGAAAATAATGTTAGGAAGTTCAAGTGATACCAGATATGGAGGGGCTGTGTAAAGGTATAAAGAGCTGGAACTTGATTCTAGGGATGTTAGAAGTAATGACGTCTTATGGACATAGGATATAACATAAAATATTTTAGTGATGTATCTAGGATGAACCTACAGGGAAATGGCATGTCTTATGGGGCCTCCCTTCAAAAAAATTTTTTTTCCAGTATATATTTGTAATTTGTAAGCTAAAGCAATTCTGTTATGCATATACTGGAGGGTTGCAGGAAATGTCATTTTTATGGTGAGATTTAACATGGATGTTTCAAAGAAATATTATTCATTTATGCATTTTACTGCCTGTTTCTGATAAGTAAGTAAGAAATGGACTGCTTTAATCCATCAGAGTTTGAAGAGTTGTAATTTTACTCTAAGAGAACTGAATCTATTGACTTTTTAAAAATGTTATTGCCACAAGACGTAATGATAAGAGAGGAAATTGCAGGGCACTTAAAGGAGAGATTTGAAGGAATAAAGGCTAAAAATCACAGAATAGCCATAACATCTAAAATTTGCATAGCAATATATTCCCTGGGTTAAAGAACTATACTTTGATTGTGTTATATGACTACAGAGTAGAATTCATTAAAATTTTAAAAGAATGAATCAATTAAGGGCCTGAAAGAGTAAGGGACCCAAAACTGGGACTTTGTTTGATTAGATAATATAAAGGCAAAAGAGAAGAGTAAATTTGGAGATGGTCAACACCAGAAAGACACAATCTGAATAAAGGCACCATGTGGTAGCCTGGGGCACCCCCAGGGATAGACCAAGGATACTTGGTGCCCAGGGTTGAAAAGTGAGTGTAAGGAGAATGAGAAGCTAAGAAAAGTAGAAACCGGCAGTAAAATGCATAATTCAATAATCCTTCTTTGAAACATCCATATTAAATCTCACCATAAAAATCACATTTCCCGCAATCCTCCAGTATACATGGGCAGAATTGCTTTTGCTTACAAATTGTATATACCTAAAAAACTTTTTTGAAGGGAGGCCACTATGACATCATGCCTGCTATGCTATTTCCCTTTCTTCTGGAGGTATTTATTTTCAACTAACAGGTCGCAGACACTTAGGAGATACAGTAGATTTTTAAATATAGGTTTTTAAAAAAGAGAGAAAACACTCAATCCAAAGATTTATAACTGTTAAAATATTTAAAATCCAGCTACTTCTTGATTGGGTTTATAAGTACATTAAATATTTAAAAGTGAAGGAGTGTCACCATGTTTAGCTTAATTCACAAATAGTCTCAAATGGATGTTGGTCCTAACATGATCATTCTGACAGACTCCCTGTTACTAAACTCTTTAACGAGTTATGGCACTCAAGCTGCTTTGAGCTATTAAATAATCACAGGCAACACAAGTTTTTTGGATCAGACCAAGTAGAATGATTTAGTAATTGTTAGATTTCGGTTGCTTTCATATTGGGGGGAAGTTTCTGTTGGATACAAACAAGTAATTTATAAAGAAAAGGATAATGTGGGAGAAACTAAAGTTTCTGTCATGTCTATCTATAGCAACCAAAATAGCAAATTTTTTGATATTAGAAACTCAGAAAATTTGAACTGTCAAAGAGTCCTTTCTTGTATTCAACAAAAATCTTTATCTGAGAGTTAAATTTTAAAGAATATTTTTATAATGGGAAAACCTGATAATTTCTATAATTTAAAAAATCGGTTCCTATTGCTTAAATTGTAAATTAAATTCTATATTATTATTTATATAGAATTTTCTGTTTTCTGTTTAGAATATCAATTTTTGAATTTGGTTACCCATTATAATCCCTTAGTTAATTGACACAATCATTAGTTTTTCCTAATACTAATACTTCCCATGGGCAGTTATTATCTGTGAGTTACAAACATTGATAAAAATAGAGCTCTAAACTGTTGAACAATGGACAAATGAGGCAGGGTTGAAAAGGAAATAGGGTTTTAACCCATAATCTATAAAAATAGAACTAATAATTGTCAAATATAAATGTTAAAAAAAACTAAATAAGTTATATGTAGAGACTTTATAAAGAAATGCGTACATTGATAGTGGGAGATAAAGAAAATGGAATCAAAATTTGTTTGATTAAACTTTTTTTTCAAAATCGAGGGCTAAATATTATAAAGATTGTTAGAAGTAGTGAGAACCATGCTGTCTACTTGCTAGCTAATAAATTACTTAATGACTATTTGCCTCATTTTTTTCCTCTGCAAAATAGGGGTAATAATAATACCTAGTTTATGGTATGGCACATTAGTTAGCTATAGTCAATTGATGATATTTAAAAAACTACCCCAAAACTCAGTGCTTTAAAGCAATGACAGTTTTGTTCCTATAAATCTGAGCATTGGGTCAGCTCTGTTCCAAGTGTTTCCCATGTCCTCCTGGAAACAGCAAGATAGACACATGTTCTTTGCAATGGTTGGAGCCCAAAAGAAAAAAAACCTAACTGAGGAAGTATATGGCAAGACTCAGTTTATCTGCTTACATTCCATTAAGCAAAGCAAATTATATGACTAAGCCCAAAACCAAGAGTAGGGAATACATTTCTACTAGGATGTGTCC